GCTAGATCTCTCTCTATTCATCAGATTCATTGTGTATTTCAAGTCAGTCAAATCTTTTCCATATCAACAGAAACAGGAAATGAAGTCACAAGCAATAAACAGATTTAAGTTCCATACAACAAGTGATTTTATTACAGATAATAGGATGGAAAATTTCTGCATTTTCAAAGTGTGTCATGTCATTGGATAGAGATGACTCCTTATCAGCGGATACATTTATTCTTGTAATTAGACATACAGGAAATCTATTTATAAAAAAATACTTCATATAGTTTTAGGTTAAATGTCTTAAATACAGGGTAAAAGTGAAATGGGACACTGTCTGATCATTTGTCATTGCCGTTGCTATGAGAAATGTAAAGCCACAAAATGAATATTCTTTGCACAACTCACACATAATTAACTTTAAAATCAATGCAGTGATTCCTTATAAGACCAACTTAAACCAACTGCAAATTTCTTCAAACGCATGGTTTCCTGGTGAAACACTTAAGAAAATTCCCCAAACAATGGTAAACGTGACCGCACCTTTACACTTATTTATTCACTTTGCGTGAATAAGTGAAATAAAGAGTATATTTACTCATCATTAAGAACTGTCTTTAGAAATTGCTAAATCTCCTCACAGCGAGAGTTTCTGCCATTCTTCACAGTTTGTTTAAGAATCATTATGCTTTTCTGTTTGTCCTCTGAAATGTTTTGGATTTCTGCTGCGTTCATGAGAAAGTTGATTGATTTGTCTCTGGACTGTCTACTCTGATGTAGATGGCACGCATAACTATAGTACAGTAACTGTTGAGTATGAGGAGGGAGATCATCTTTCTCTGACAGGAGCTGCTGGTAAATCTCATTGGCTCACTTAGTGTTGTGTGCGTAATGGTGCAGTGTTGCAAGGGCTAACCATCTTCTGACACAGTCTGGGTAATGTTTGACAACCTTCTCAAACAGCTTCATCCATGAGTCAAGATCTTCCTTTCCTGGCTGTTTTCCTTCATAGAGAACACTTTCCCTTTGTATAAATTTGACAGGTTTCTCAAAACTTTAGGGGAAGTTGTAGGGAAGCCCAGCAGGTTGTAATGGTGGATCAGACAGATGCACGCCTGCTGCTCCACATCTTGCATGTTCCTCCTCAACCCCTGGAGCTCATTTCGATATTGCCCCAGATCCCAGGTGAAGTGGCACTCCAGCCCCTTGAGGTTGCTTTTCAGTGGGGAACTGGAGTTACAGAGAAAAAGAAATTAGTCTTACGAGGACATTCACGGCTGACACAACATTTAGATCAGAGGACATTGAGAAATTGATTCGAATGTTATACAATAAAAAAAATCAACAATAAATCCTCAATTAAAGAGAAGAAAAGAAGTCATGGTAAGAAATCTTAAAAATACCAGTATTAGGTCTAGAAATAACAGCATAAAAATGATTTAAATAAAAAAATAAGACAATATTTTATGGTCATCGCGGATTCTTAAAATATCCACATTGAGATTTTTTTTCATAAATTAAAAAAAAAAAAAAAAACTCCATCACGATGGGCAGCAGTGATCTGGTTGGTAGATGTGTTTCTCCAGCAGTAGTGATCTGGAGCATCATTTATAAAATGTGTGTACGCACAGATTTGATCTTAGAGTGTGCGTAAGCAAAAATCCACGGCAACGTTCAGATTTATAAAAACGGTGTTTGACGTGAAAGTACTTACCGTCACGTCAGGGTCTGAGCAGGCGTACGCACTTTTTCTTGTGGCAAAGTCGGAGTACTGCAGCTATTTGAACATCTAAACTGAAATAATTTAAAAAAAAAAAAGCTGTGTACGTGCAAGCACCGAATTAATAATAAACAACAAATATGCAGTGTAAGAGATTCATTGTGCAGTGCAGTCAGATTTTTTATTAACGGGAGTTTTTGCGAGATTAAACTGACCTTTTTAGTAGCCTAATGTTGAGAGTTCTTTACTCGCTTTCTGTACACAGTTATTCCACGTTGTTTTTTTTATTACTTTATTTTAAAAGAGAACTTGCGAAGTCTTGATTTACTACTAATGTGTAAAATAGAAAAAAAAAACAGTTTTGTCTGTGTGGCCTATAAGAATAGGCCTATGTCGTGCAATAACGGTTTTAATATATTCTATTCAATAACAGTTAACTGTTTTTATTTATAACATCTGCTGCTTTGCTTCTGTGAAAATTAATAGAGACATTAGCCTTAAACTCTGGTTTTGTCATTTACATCAGTTATATTTGTATAAAATACACTATATATTTTTGTGTCAGTACATTAATGGCACATTTGAGCAGCATTAGTAAACTCTGTGAATATAAAGAAATGCCAAATCACATGCAGGTTTTTTCAGACCGGAGACCATAATCATGTAATCATTTATTTTATTATGATATACGTCTAATTTTTCCTTCAATAATGTTTTTTAAAGTTTTTGCAAGAATTTCGTGATACTAAACTTTTTATTAGTTGCCATAGCAAGTGATTTTAAAGGGTTAGTTCACCCAAAAATGAAATTCTGTCATTAATTACTCACCCTCATGTCGTTTCAAACCCGTAAGACCTTCGTTCATCTTCAGAACACAAATTAAGATATTTTTGATGAAATCTGAGAGCTGTCTGACCCTGCATAGACAGCAACGCAACTGAAATGTTCCCAAGTCCAGAAACGTAGCAAGGAGATCTGTAAAATAATCCATGTGACATCAGGGGTTCAACCGTAATTTTACGAAGCTACGATAATACTTTGTGCACAAAAGAAAGAAAAAAAAACGACTTTATTCAACAATTTGTCTCCTCCACGTTGCCCTAGCGCCATTTTGGATTGCATCTGCTGGACGTAAACAGCTTATGCTGTTCTGTGTCAGCTGCATCACACGGATAGCTGTTTTCGTTCAGATCAACTCACAACAACGTAGGAAACCGATCTGGCGTGACACAGCTGACACAGAACAGCATACGCTGTTTCCATCCAGCTGATACTCTCCAAAATGGCGCAACGGGGTGATGCGGAGGAGACGAATTGTTGAATAAAGTCGTTATTTTTTTCTTTTGCGCACAAAAAGTATTCTCGTAGCTTCATAAAATTATGGTGATCCCTGATGTCACGTGGATTATTTTAACGATCTCCTTGCTACGTCTCTGGACTTGGGAACATTTCAGTTGCGTTGCTGTCTATGTAGGGTCAGACAGCTCTCAGATTCCATCAAAAATACCTTAATTTGTGTTCCGAAGATGAATGAAGGTCTTACGGGTTTGAAACACACATGAGGGCGAGTAATTAAAGACAGAATTTTCATTTTTGGGTGAACTTACCTGAAAATTAGGATGGCTCACTTTTTATAAGGTGACTGAAAATTACTTGAATTCGTAGTTTATTCTCACTTTTGGAAACCTAATTGTTTTATAATTACTACTACTACTACTATTATTATTATTATTTCTGTTGTTTCTAGAAGTAGTAATTTTGATAATAGTCAAGAGAAAAAAACACAACCACCCACACATTGTTTGTCCACAGAATAATTACACATTATTCAATAAAAGCGTCCCCTCACGAACCTCCTCCGCCAGCAGGACCTCAATTTCAGACTCAGTAAAGTTTTTTTTTTCTTTTTTCTTTGTGCTCGTCATTCTCAAGCATAGAAATTCGGATATTGGCTTGTGCTCTTTTATATGGTAATGATGTTAATTGGGCGGCGTTTACAAGGCGGAGATCTGACACCAGTCAGCTGCACACAATTTCAAGATAATTTGCGATTTATAAATGTCACATCTGGAAGAGAGGCGTACGCACCGGGTTTTTGTGCGCACGTTCATTTTCCCTGAATCGCAGTTACGCACAGAAATGATCTTAGAACAAATTTAGGATGGTTTATACGCAACATTTTATAAATGAGGCCCCTTCACTTTGTATGAGATCTCATGTATTTATAATAACAATGTTATCTCCAAAACAAGGCCATTTAACACATGGGGTCAGGATCCATTTCGTACAAGTTTCTGTTCTTTGCAAGGTTTTGTTTTCGTGCAAATGAACAGGCGCAATGTCCACGGAACATTTCAGGGTAATTATATGCAATGTATATGACTAAGTGTGGCAAAAGGGGTCAGGTGTTTGAAAATTACCAATAATAAGAGAAATCCACCACCTTTTTCTTGTCGTAAAAATGGGCGCGGCCATTTGTAAATTATATTGGTCTGGCTTCCGGTCTCATCTGCGTCCACTCCTTCCAGCTATTTTTAGCTGAGCAAAACAGTTCGTTTTGCTGCTTGATATTGAAAGTTGGTGTGTCTTATATTATTTTAATGTATTATCTTAATTATGAACACACTGGTTTGTAGTGCAAACAGTTTTACCGTTTACTGCACGTTGTTATTCTCCTCGTTATTTACCTATAGCGGCTAATGAACCGGAAGTCTCACCCATAGGCTTACTTCCGCGTTGAAGAAAAAGGTGGATAGTCAACTACGCTACCCGGAATACACTGGGACATAACAACCCTAAGCAAAGGGGCACAGGTTCCTTGCCAAAGGCAGGGTGAGCATGAAGACATAGACGGATATATCAACAAGAATCACTTTACTAACATACAATAAAAACAAACAAACACAATACTTCACACAAAGTCTCAAATCACATCACAAGTCTATACCAGTAACATACAAAACCATAAGTACAATACGATTAAAAACAAAAATAAAGAGGGAGGTGCCAGCAAAGACCCTCAGATTTCTACCCCACACTCAATACCCATGACACACACTCTTGTGAACAATCAAAAAATGTTAAACACAGCACTCCATGTGGACACACAGTACAGGGTACCATGGTCAACCCCTCCCACTTTAACGATTAATTTTCATTTTTTAGCGAGATGCTAACGGTCTAATCCGATTCAATGATCTATGCTAAGCTACGGCTACAAGTGCTACCGCCAGACCCAGAGATCGGCAGAATGGATTCGAAAACGGTTAAACTCAACTGTTTAACTCCAGGGGAGTTGGAAAATGAGCCTGTTTTCAAAAATAGTGGAGTGTTCCTTTAAATTACTAAATAAATTCAGGGTGGAGGTATACTGAGAGAAAAGGACATTTGACACCAAAATAAAAGTGAATGACTTGAACTGTTTGACTTTGTTTACAGATCAGTCTAAAATGACCTGTTTTTGGTTATTATGCTGCCAGCTGTCAATGACCAAATCTATAGCAAACAATTCATATCTAGAATTTTAGTTTTAACTGATCAACATCATATAGACAAGTAAAGAAATTAAAATTCTGCTGCTGGTATTTTCAAACTGTTTTCACAATATGAAATATGAATGTGCATTTTTAGTTCACAACTCCCATTCAGTCTATGGCTGAGCTATTGCTTCTTTCTCAATAATTTTCTGGATCTCGTCTGCTGTTCTAATTTCATTCATGTGACGAAGATTTTTGATGAGAGCTGGGTAGGCTCCATGTAAACCTTGTCTCTGGGACCAAGCTTGCAGAAGCGCGAAGGTCTGCTCTTTCACATCGTTATGGTGATTAAGCTCATGTTCCTCAATATCAGTTTTGCTCACGCCACTCCGCTGGGCAACACGTTTCATTGTTTTCCAGCCCAGAACATCAGCAATTTCTGCCAGGTCAGGGTTCAGCTCTAAATCTACACAGAAAAAGAAGACCGCACTGATTTAAGCTTATTATCCTGCTATTATTTGAACTGATCTAATGTCTTTATTTTCTCCAGAAACGTTCCATCTACAGGGGATCAAATAAGGCATGCGTTTATTTTAATGGTTATTTTAAATAGTTTATTTACCAAAAAATAACTGGGTAAAGTTATTGCTAATATCACATATTACTTATTGGTAATTGACATTATTGAATCAACTGAACATGAATTCAACAAATTTGATGCCAAAAAATTACCATTTCAAGGGAGGATACTGATATATATTTCTGACATTTAAAAAAACATGCAAACATATCAAATAGTTCTCACTAGGAAACATACCTTTCAGGTGAAGGCCTTCCTATATGGGGAAACACAAGCATATTCATCAATGTTTTGAAAATGCAAATAAAATAAATTAACATGCAGTTCCACTGTAACACCACAAGGTTGCAATGAAAGCTTAGAATAAAAAAAATTACCTCATGATTTATTGCATCTTTGCTCTGTTCATCCTTAAAACAAAGCTTGTGTTTTCTCCATAGCCAAAACACCAGCACACCAACACCAGCCAAAAGTATGAGCAACACCGAAACAGCTACAATGGTCCCTGAAATAAGCAATCATTAGTCAATTATCTGTAATTTACTTAGCGTTTATACTGCATACGCTTTATTTTATTACGTTTTTTTTAAATTACATTTTATTTTAAGTTTTAATAAGTTATTGCTTATACTGTGAGTACACAGTAGTGCTCTTGGGACACGGGCATTTTAACATGTACTGAAATCAGTAATAAAGCAGCCCTTGCCTGTGCTTGTGGATTGTGGATGTATGGCATCATGGCACACAGTGTTGTTGGTTTTTGTGCATTGTTGTTTAACTCCAAGTTTCTCACACCTGTTGAACAGAATAAGACAGAATAATAAACTGAAAACCAATATATAATATACTGAGATAGTATAAAAATGCTAAACCAAATTTCAGATCTTCAAGCAAATGTTAGCAAAATCAAATGAGCAGAAACACGGATGCAAAAAAACAAAAAAACAAAAAACATTGCAAACCTTTAGGCCAGCTGGACCAGGGTTACAGTTATTTAATATTGCTATGTATTGTTAAGTAAAACACAAGCATTGCTGTTACTTTTATATTTTGTCTTTTTGAGAGAGGAAGAAAACAAAAGATAACTTATGTCAGGATAATTTCAGTATTTTGCCCAAACTGAGTCTGCTTTAGCACAGATTGTATTTGGTTCGAATGGCAGCAACATGTGCATGCACACAGCTTTTTACAGTAATTTCCATTCTAAATTTCTAAGCACACAGACATCTGTCATTCATTTCAGAGAGAAAAGGGCCTTTGGCTGACTACATACATGTCACAGGGAGAACAGGCCTTGCACTGGTCACGCTTGTCACAGTAATAATTTTCCTTGCACCAGCAGACAGTGTTGTAAAACGGTGAACATCTCTCCTTCGTGTCCATGTTTGCTATTGTTAAGCAGAAATAAGACTTTTTAAAATTAGTTTTGCCTATGCTTACATTTGGGCTTCAAGAAGCACAATACTACCCTTTGAAAACAGCCCCATCTCTGGCATTAGTGATGTTTTGCCAAATATTTTCTAAATAAGAGTTGACTGTTTATTACCATTTGTTAAAATTCATGTTTATTAGATAGTATAACAAGAAAAACATTGATTTACCCATCTCTGGCATTAGTGATGTTTTGCCAAATATTTTCTAAATAAGAGTTGACTGTTTACTGCCCATTTGTTAAAATTCATGTTTATTAGATAGTATAACAAGAAAAACATTGATTTGCAGAAAATCACAATTTAACTGACAAAACTAACAAGGTGTTAAGACCTACCATTGGAATCACAGACTTTACAAGGCTGGCATTTGTGATCACTGTTTGGGTGATCCATATAGGCACCATCCTCACACCTCTCACAATGTGTTTCAGGTTTATCTGTGCAGTGATTTAAGACCTGGTAACCTGTAACACACACAAATACACACGTGTATACTCAAGAACATCCTTTGGTTTCTTCTAAATTAAGATAATTACATGGTTGTCTTAAATATTTCTGACTCTGGAACACAAAACAAGTCATAAGGGTAAATTTTCTTCTGAACTTTCTATTCTTTGATGAATAGAAAGTTCAGAATAAAATTTACCCTTATGCCTTGTTTTGTGTTCCAGAGTCTGTTTTCAACATAATAATAATAATAATAATAATAAATGTTTGTTGAGCAGCAAATCAGAATATTAGAATGATATCTGAAGGATCATGTGACACTGAAGTCTGGAGTAATGATGCTGAAAATTCAGCTTTGAAATCACAGGAATAAATTACATTTTAATAAAAAATATTTCACAATTGCTGTATTTTGGATCAAATAAATGAAGGCTTGGTGAGCAGAAGAGACTTCTTTAAAAAACATTAAAAATCTCACAATCTCACAAAACCTTTTGACTAGTGCCTAAATGTCAAAATTAGTACAATATATTTGTTGAAAAAGCCTTAATACACTATTGAATTATTAGGCTGTGAGCGTGTTACTCATATTATTTTTGTGTTGCTGTCTGCTCTAGCTCCCTCTGTAGGCCTCTAAGGGCTGTAAAGTGAAAGTGGCGTGACATGTGGCCAAGTATGTTGACCCATACTTGGAATTAGTGCTCTGCATTAACCCATCCAAAGTGCACACACACAGCAGTGAACACACACACACACCGTGAACACACCCCCGGAGCAGTGGGCAGCCATTTTTTTTGCTGCGGCGCCTGGGGAGCAGTTGGGGGTTCGGTGCCTTGCTCAAGGGCACCTCAGTCGTGGTATTGAAGGTGGGAGAGAACGCTGTACATTCACTCCCCCCACCTACAATCCCTGCCAGTACCTTTGGGTTACGAGTCCGACTCTCTAACCATTAGGCCACGACTTCCCCAAACAATAAATCCATGTGAATATCTGTCTCTGCTAAAAAAATTTAATTTTTCTGACTCATCGAGTCCCGCGCATCGGTTTTATTCGGAATCATTTGAAGGAAGCGCGGAACACACGTGAGCTGATTCGTATAGCGCAGCGCTGCCAGTCAAGACTAGCCGATTTATGATTTATTATCGAATGAAAAAATCAGAAATGATCACTTTGGTACATTGAGAAGGCATAAATATAAAATCTTAATAATAATAATAACTTTAACAAAAAAAACAGGGCAGCGGGCCAAATCAGCCACCGGGTATTCTCCCGGTGCTCCAGATGGCCAGTCCGGGCCTGGACACGACTAGAAATCAGTGGTTAAGTTGTATTTACAACACTGCTCCAGAACAGTTCAACCCAAATATTCGTGTGTCTGCAACGCATTTTACGGAGGACGAGGACTGAACCTGGGAGAGTAGCCTACAATGCCGGCGCTTCTGACTCACAGCCTGTAAGTATGTTTTCATATTTAAGGAATTTGCCACTGATGATTTAAACGCGAGTTTTGAGCAGCGTAGAGTAGCGCTTGTTTGTCGTTTCTCTGATCACAAATGCAGACATGGATTTATGTTTACACAGCGCAACGCGTAAAAAGACAGTATAAGTCATTAAAATCCGTAATTATATCCCCACTGGATGAAACAAATGCCTCGTTTATAATGGGTTTTAATGTTTTTGTCTGTGGCTCCGGCCTGACAGGGCATCATCACAATATGGTAGGAGGCGTAACATTTCTGTCACACGCTTGAGGAATTCGGCCAATCACAACGCACTGGATTTCTGGCCAATCAGAGCACACCTCGCTTTTCAGACCGATGAGCTTTGTAAAAATCGACGCGTTTCAGAAAGGCGGGGCATAAGCTGTGTCTCATTTAGAAGGCTGCGCCCTCCGGAGGTCGCATCCTCTGTAGGATGCATATACGAAGTGTCCTCAACCTAGAATTAAACGAGACGGCCTTCGTAGGACGGGCGGAAAAGGAAACAGGAAGTATCATGTTGCTATGCCAACACATTTAGAGCATTGTTGCGCTCGCACAATACTTAAATGAAGTAAAATTATTTCTAAGTTTGGAAAGTAATTTGAAAAAATATATATATTTTACTTGTTTTATTTTGTTCAATGTTTGAGGAGCTGCATCGTATATAACGTTACAGCAGACATCTGTTAGAGAAGAAAAAAGGAGGAGGATATTAAAAACAAAGGTTATCCGTTTTTACTGAGGCGATTTAAGGTAAGTTGTAAACACCACATCTGCGCTTGTGTGTGCATCTGCCGGCGCCGGCATTTTTCAAATTAACAACGGTTGTTCACGGCGACGCAAAGAATTGTGGGTTATCTGTAGCAGCGAAGGATACACCTCATGCATCCTCCGAATTCCTGTGAAAGAAGGTCGCATTCGGAGTGGCCTACTTGCTTTTCTGAAATGAGACAGCCTCGATGACGTATGCAGCCTTCGAATGCGACCTCCGGAGGACGCAGCCTTCTAAATGAGACACAGCTATAGAGGAGAAACAGTTATGTACAGTATGTGGAAAATAATGTGTTTTTGAACCTTAAACCGCATAAACACATTTCATTACACCAAATAATATTATTTTTAGCAGCATCATATGACCCCTTTAATGTCGAGCCCCGGAGTCAATGTGCGGAGACATATTAGATCTTACCTGTGGGACAAAGACAGCAAGTGTTTCCCTCATGCTGGTAAGTCCCGTATTCACAGGCGCCGCGTCTCGTGCGCCGGAGCCTGCCTTCTGTCAGTCCTACAGTTGCCACCTAAAACACGGGGGGGGGGGAAAAACTGCCTTTAACAGATAAAATATTAAATTAAAGTTACGCTTTTTTGTTGAAATTCTTTTCAAGCATGCGTTCTCAACAGCAAGATTACGGGTAACTTAAATGAAACTTTAAAAATGAAATGAAAATGAAACTTAAAAGTACAATAAATGTTTAGTATGTTTGTACTACAGTATTTTACACTAAATTGTATTAAATTATTTTTAAAATAGCAATAGTAATAGCGAAACAAAGCAATTACATACATTTCTGTGTTCCTCTAGTGATTGTCGATGCGCGTTTTAGATATGTACAGTGAACAGTATATACCGTATAAAACTGAATATGGTTTAAAGTTTTACTTACCGCACAGCACAGAAATACGACGAGATTGTAGACATGCATGTCTTTAGAGTAAAAGACACAAAGAAACAGCTTAGTAGTGATAAATCCCCCAAAAACGCCAAGTTACATTATCAACAACATTTACAGTTGAAACGGAAGTAGAGATGTCTAATGCGCGAGCTAATTGTTCTTTTGAGCCGAGTCTTATCAATCGGTCTTACCAAAACCGGTCAATCTTGGTCCAAGCCTTTCTCGAGACAATAACAAGTCACATACTCATGGAACGGAGTGTGATAGTTGGTTTTAATACGTAGCATGTATTGTATAGACCTCCAGGAGCACGTGATTTGCTGAAAACGGTATGATGTAAATGAATCAAACAAACTGGTTCACTGAATCGAACTGTTCAAAAGAACCGATTCGAGGAAAAAGATCGGACTTTCCCCTCTAGGGAATTTTGTCTTAAAGGAATCCCCATTGTTGAGCTGTATTCAAATTTCAGATCGTTCTTACTGCAAACATTTGTAGACCAAAATGATCTTTAAAATCTATTATTTTCAAGCTTTAGCATCTAACATACTTATGAAAATTTGCAAATTGCTAAACAACAGTTAAGATGTACCTTTCTGAGGCTTTGTATATTGCAATGGAACTGGTCATGTGATTTACAACAATTGTTCAATAAAATGCCAGCTACAATACAATTTTTTGTATTTTTCAGATCAACCCTTTCATACCTGAACAATGAAAATAAGTTTCTTAGTAGCCAGGAAGTTTGAGGTTCTTACATAACACACATTCTTTTATAGACTGACTCTCAGCTGTGTGACCTCATTTCTGTGATTTTCTTATTGGTTGAGCTCCTGCTGTGAATTATGGGACATTTTGCTTCTGCTTTGTTACTGGCAGATGGCACCAGAGGACAATATACATACCCTTCTCACTGATAAATATCACTGAGACTCATACGAACATATGAAAATTACTACATTTAAAGTATGGTGTACAGTTTTTGGTTCTTTGGATCCATTAAGAACTTTTGTACAAAAAACTTCTTTATAATGGAAAAAAATTTAGATTACTAAAAATTAATCACAATTAAAAAAAAGGATTCTTTCAGGAACTGTTGACTTTAAGGCACTTTGGGGAAACCAAATGGTTCTTATATGGCAACACTAAAAAAATAAAAATGAAAAAAAAAACTTTTTGGAACCTTTATTTATAAGGCTGATGATACACAGGGTAACTTTTTTGGAGCAACGTTGCTTGGGCACTTTCCGATTAAGAATGGGTAACACATTTCTATTTGGGCATTTTAGATCATTCGTGGGCTCTGTGTCTCACCTGGTTGCCCATTGATGGCAACATTTCCCAAAGTTGTCCGACAACATTGCTCAGAATGTTGCCCATTGTATCATCAGAAACTTTCTAGAAACTTTATTTAATTCTCCAAACACAGGATCTTGAGACAAGTGGAACTTGTACAGTGCCTGTACTATAAATGACTCACTTTGTCAAAGTTAAATCACCAGTGAGTGAACTAATATGTGCAATGATTGATTTCTAGGTTTGATTTAAATTTCAAATTGACAGCCTAAGAGTGCAAACGAGTGCAAGTGCAAAATCACATCAACACACCTTTCTCCTACACAATACCAATGTAGCACTTCTGTAGGCTATACAACTGACACATTCATTGATGTCTCACCCCTTTACTCATGTGACAACACAGTGACATGGAAACCACAAAACCTTAAGTCTCGACTTTCGAGTCTTTCTGTCACCTTTCTTCTGTCATTGTCAGCTGTAGGAGTGGAGAACTGTCAGGTGAAGCTTTATCCTACCTGACAAGCATTGCCAGTTAGAGAAAACTGAAGATAAAAAATGATGAGGTCTAGTATTTGCATTAGAAATCTTAATTTGCAGCTTTATTGGTCCTGTGATTTGTTTAATGACATGCTTCGTGTGTCTTCAGGATCAGTTCTCTTTAGCTATTGGCTCCTATAAATGTTTTTGTGGCCTTAAAAACGTATAAGCCGGGAACGACTGCACATTCACACGTTATCTTTATCCCTGTGTGTGTTTGCCATTGGCTATTAGTGTGTGTGTGTTTATATCATGACATGTTAATGTTTCACATCAACAAAGACTGAGAAGGTTTCTGAGGTTTTCATAATCTGGGGTCGACTCGAAGCCATTTCAGACCTCTTTATGATCGCCTTTGTGCACATATGAGATGTGTGACAGTAAGCCGGGTTCATGGAGAGGACACACTCCTCGGCTCTGATATGAGAAGTTTTGGTGTCTGTTATCTGAGCCCCATATTAATTTGGCTGTGACGGATGTTAGCCTGGTCTAGCGTGGCCGATCGTCTCTGGGGAAAACACCACATAATCCTCTAATCCTTTCCCCTTGGGATTCGGTCTAATCAAGCGCTCTTTAAAATGAAAGAGCGCACACACTATGAATACTAACGCCCATACATTGCAAATTCTTGTCACTCTGTATCCGCAGCAGCTCTTCTGTAAGTACAGTGCCGAGCTTTTCCTTCAGAGACTTTGAGACATCAGTTCAGTGTCTACTTTTATACAGGTTACGTACTGGATTTAATCATAAAAACTTGAAGGGGCAGTGTTTATTTTTTGACAAGAGTGTGCTGTCCACAAAAAGACAACCATAATGTTTGAGCATGACAGACCTTAAAGGATTATTTCTGGTTCAACACAAGTTAAGTTCAATCGACAGCACTTGTGGCGTAATGTTGATTACCAATAAAACTATTTCAACTTGTCTGTTGAAAAAAATTTCTTTATTAAAAAGGCAAAAATCTGAGTTACTTGCAGTGAGCTACTTGCAGTGAAAGTAAATGAGGCCAGTATGTAAATGTTAATATACTAAATGTTTGAATATGTTAAATAAGTAATATGTAAGAATGTTAAATAATATGTAAATAGTAGGAATATGTTAAATAAGTAATGTTAAATATTAAATGTATGAATAGTATAGGCACGAATAAACAACATCAGTGTTGAAAGTTGTGGTAATAAAGTAGGTGCGATATCTTTTCTCCCGTATTGTAACATACATGCAAATGATTATGGAAAAAAATTATCACCATAGAAATATGTTGTTTTCACCAGAAGATCAAGTTATGACATTCCAATGAAAAACTATGGAATTTTTTAAAAATAATAATAAATAAATAAATGGATAAATCTTCCTTTTATGTCTAAAATTTTAGAAAAAGTTGTCTGCTCAATTGTGCTCCTTCCTGCAAAAAAATGATCTCTATGAAGAATTTCAGTCAGGTTTCAGGCCCCACCATAGCACAGAAGCTGCACTTGTTAAAATTACAAATGACTTGCTTCTTGCATCAGACCAAGGCTGCATCTCATCGCTAGTTTTACTTGATCTTAGTGCTGCATTCGATACTATACAGTGGGTACGGAAAGTATTCAGACTCCCTTAAATTTTTCACTCTTTGTTATATTGCAGCCATTTGCTAAAATCATTTAAGTTAATTTTTTTTCCTCATTAATGTACACACAGCACCCCATATTGACAGAAAAACACAGAATTGTTGACATTTTTGCAGATTTATTAAAAAAGAAAAACTGAAATATCACATGGTCCTAAGTATTCAGACCCTTTGCTGTGACACTCATATATTTAACGCAGGTGCTGTCCATTTCTTCTGATCATCCTGGAGATGGTTCTACACCTTCATTTGAGTCAAGCTGTGTTTGATTATACTGATTGGACTTGATTAGCAAAGCCACACACCTGTCTATATAAGACCTTACAACTCACAGTGCATGTCAGAGCAAATGAGAATCATAAGGTCAAAGGAACTGCCTGAAGAGCTCAGAAACAGAATTGTGGCAAGGCACAGATCTGGCCAAGGTTACAAAAAAAATTCTGCTGCACTTAAGGTTCCTAAGAGCACAGTGGCCTCCATAATCCTTAAATGGAAGACGTGTGAGACGACCAGAACCTTGGAACAGCAGCTACGCTAATTATGTCTCTATTTGTTTCTCAGTTTAGGATTTACACAAGCTTCAGTCTGGATCCAGAACACCTGAGAAGAGATGATGCTAACCCCTCAGAGGATCTCAGATGATGCCAACCCTGAAACAACATACAGAACTACCACATTTTGCTATAAGTTTGATTGCATCATATAATAATTGCGGTTAATAGTGTTCATCGTCTGTTTGATTACGGCTTTAATTGATTTTTCCGTACATTTCTGCCATATGTACATTAACTGACAGTCACCACTGAGAAGCTACCACTAAATATTGTAGAAACTTAATTTGCTGTAAAGTTGCTTTACAACAATTTGTATCGTGAAAAGCGCTATACAAATAAACTTGAATTGAATAAATCATTCATAAAATCATTAAGATGCTTTTACAAAATGGGCTTATTACCCTAATGTGAATTTTAAAGCTCAAATAATGCATAAAGTTCTAACAGAATTATTCAAGTGCTATCTCATTTCTGCTTTTGAATCTTTGAACATTGGCCCCATTTACTCACATTAAAAGTGCTTCACTGTAACCTCAATATTTGATTGGTAATAAACATTACGCCACAAATGCTGTTAATTGGGCTACATTTATTAAATGCCAAATATTCCTTTTAGATCAACAGAAGTAATTAGGATAATTCTCAAACTATCCTACACTTTATGATTTTATCTCAGACCACAGCTATATTTGCTAAAAATGGAAGGAAAAAAAAAAAAGTCAAAGAACAAAAATAGTGCAGCCCCCGTACTTCTCTCAGGGCTGTTTAGCTCTTTTAAAGAAATGCAGAACCTGCCACCCAGGCCAGTTAATCCCCACTTCCCCGTTTCATTCTGGGCCTAAACCAAACATAGCACAGCTGTGCTCTAACAGCAAGTTTTTGCCAGATTAGTTTCACACTGTCCCACAGTGTAGATGACGGGTTGCCAGGTTGAGCAAATACTTTCCAAACAGAGAAAAAAACGAGAAAAACGTGGACATGCTAATGCTGCAACTAGATGAAATACTGAATAACTTAACTGAGTCAAAGTTAAGGGATTTCCAAACTCTATTCAAATCACACTGCTGTATAAAGCTTCTCTGAAAATCCCCAAAACTGTGCATAAGAGGGCATCGCGGTTTCCAGATTGTCGTGGCATTGCATCAGATGTAAACTAGAGGCGCAGCCGTTCTTGGTGACTGAACCTCTTTCTAATGAAAGAAGCGGTGCTTGCTGACAGAGGAGGCCAAGCACCTCATTGTTCATTCAGGGCTGGTTGACTCCCTGTTGGGCAACCAATTACAGTGTAGCGGAACAGTTCCTGTCTCCATCATTAGCTGGTGCGAGTCTAGTTTTATGT